ATGCCACGGATAACTCTGATCTCGTCGAACTTACATCGATGGAACCTATAAGAATGTCAACGGGTGGTCAGTGAATTTTAACTAAAATCGGGTTGTACTTAGTTGCTGAAGAGAAAGAGAGGGTGGAATAGGACATTCTTCAGATTCTGGAAACGAATATACACCTGAGTTTAATGGTACGATAGGTGGAGTGGATATCTCCGGCGAAATCCTGGGTGAGACTTTCCTATAATGTGCTCGTTTTTTTGGCTGGTACTTTTTTGAATTTCCCTAATAAACATTGTAATTGATCATTTACTGGACACTTGGATGCCTTATCATCTGCATGCTTTTAAGGATCTGGAGAGGATGGCGATTATGATCGCGCTCTTGGGCGGTTCATGCGCAACGAAATAGACTACGATGAGTTCATGAGACTGACTGGTGGGCAAACACTTGAGGAGGAAATGGCTGCTGATGGTGGAGGTAGATCAACCTTGAATCTTAAGCACATCTTTTGAATGAGTATCTTATTTGAGAAATATACAGGAGAATCCATAGAGGACGAAGACGATGAAGAAGATCCAAACGGTGATAATGCACAGGTACGGAGTGTCGAAGAATTGAATTAATTTCAATTTCCAGATGAAAGACAAAGAAGTTTTAGGAGTTCACCATTAAGAAAGAATACGCTACAGAGTACGGTGGTGACCTGCCAGTCCATGTCAGAAACCTTATGCAAGAGGTAAAGCTTTGTTCTGGTGTCCGTAATGTTTGGAATGAAACACTGCTCTACAATTACAGCTGTTATGAGTTTTCAATAGATTATAATTTTTTTTCAGATTGTTAACGATGAACTTGGAGGTTGTCGTGCTGATGTGTTGTCAGCATCAGTTCCAACGGAGACGGATCAACCGTCAACATCTCAAGCAACTTCAACACCAGAACCAACCATTGAACGGGAACGAATACCTCGAAAACTCAGTAAAACTATGGATGCTCTTCTTGGTCATGCCAATGTCATCTACGCGAAGGGCAACACTCAAGAGGCTCTTGCTGTTTTACTCGAAGTTAGTCTTCGTTGTGCAGTTTCTCACTTTCCTTCTTTAAACTTACCAGGCGGCTACGCACGCTACACGCTACTGCGTGCGCTGGGGGCTCTAGTCATACGGGACGAAGCCACATAAGCTTCTGATTTTCGTTATGAACCTTTATCATCTGAGCCTCTTCCCTGACACCTCTGTAGCGACCATCATTTTTTTGGGATGTGAAATGGGGCTG